AAGTGGTTACTATTTAAAGATGAGGCTAAGAATAGTTGCCAAAAGGGGATAAGTTGTGCAAGTTGTGTGCAAGAATGAAACAAATCGGATTAGCAAGTCTGATTGTTACACAAAAACGATTTGAATGGGGTAAACTAAGAAAGAACTTTTGGGGGTTAAAGAGGAAAGAAAAAAGGAGTTTTGATATTAAATAGCCTAGGAACATCAATTTTGGGTGAAAATTGACGTGCTATAGCTTGTTATGAAGCTGTGGATGAGCTCTACAATTTCTATTATAGTATATGAAGGTGCTATTAAGCCCAGTTTTCCGGAAGGGGCAAAACTTTGGGAAGAGAACAGACTTTTGTCTGTCTGATATTGAAAGTCAAATATCTCGAGATTGACAAGAGATAAAGACTTGAAACTTTATAAATATATGTAAAATTAATAGCTGAACAAGTTTGTCTAAGGACCAAAGAGTTGTTAACTTAGTAAAATTTTCCGTAAATTAAGAAAAATATAAAAAATTTTTAGGCGAAATTTTGTATACAAGTGATAGACAGAAAGAGTTTTTTTTAGAAAATCAATTTTTATGTTATAAATCTTATAATAAATCATAAGAAAATACAGATTTTAAAGAGCTATACTGCAAAATTTTATTAATACAACTACTTTTGTGTATTAAATAAAAAATGATCATAATCTCATTATAAACTGATTTATATAAAAAAAATCTTTTTAAAAAATTGTCAATTTTATCTCTTTTCTTAGCACCTAGCCTATATATATCCTGAATGTGGTATTCACCCAAAGAAAACTTCTTTTGTACTATATTAATCACTCTTGTATATTAAGTAAAACTTGTAGTGCTCGTCAAGGCACATCTAATAGTAGTAAGATTATTAAAAATAGTTTAGTAATTGTCAAGATATTACTAAAAAATGATTGGTTGACTATGTAAAATTCTATATAAACAAACTATTGTTTATATAAAAATTTTACATAGTCAGCCAATTATTTTTAGTGATATCTCAACAACTACTGAACCATTTTTAATAATTTTACCACCATTAGATGCACTTTAACAAGCTTTACAAAGTTTTACTTAATACAAGAATGATTAACTTAATACAAAAAAAAGTTTTCTTTAGATGAATGTCATATTTGAGGTATATATGATTTATATAGTGATTTGTATTATATTACACTATGATTAGGGATGGATCGGTCCGTTCTGATCGGTTTCAGTCCCTTTTGGACCAATTTTATAATATTGATTAGTCCTGTCAAGTCTGTCTTTCAGTTCTGGAATCGGTCTTATGGTATAAAATTCTTCAACGCTTAACGTTAAAATTAGCTAACAAATTGCTAAATTGTCAAATATATATAAATATATATTTTATATATGAAGCTAATATAAGACCATATAAATATAAATTATATACATAAAGCTAATTTAATACCATATATTTTATATGCGAAGCAAATTTAATACCATATAAATATAATATCTATTTTATATACAAAGTTAATTTAATACTAAGAATTAAATACATAGATATTTAATTATCTAATTCACAAATTCCTTTTTGAAGCCAGCTTTTCAAATATAGAATTGCCCTCACAGAGTCATCTTCTAATCTATTTCTTATTGCTAAAATAGTGAGATCTGCTATAGAGAATGCTTGTTTCAAAGCTATACTGGTGGCTTGAATAGCCAAGTAATCTCTTGCGATTAAGCTTAGAGTAGAATATTCGGTTTGTACTTGCCACCATACTAACGGATTTGAATTATCTTCTAATAGTAATAATAAATATCTTTCTAGCTCATTTCATAGACTAGAAATAGGCGAAACTGAGGTAGAAAAAGTAAATGTAGTGGAAGAATCAGGGGAATAGAAGAATTAGTTGGAATAGAGGGAACAGAAAAAATAGACGAAATAGAAGAAAGGAAAGTGGTAGCAAATGTAAAAGATAATGGAAGAGCAGAAGCAATAGAAGAAACATGAAAAGCAAATGTGGATATAGGGGTAAATTTGACGAAGCAGGAAAAATAGAGAAGATGTATATACTGTTACTTCATAATGATCAAAAATAATTTTGTGTATCAATTAGATCAGTTGATGCAGTGTTTATTGATAATTGTGATGACTTTAATGTATATCCTGAAAGATTTAAAATCATTTGTTTAATCCAGTTTTTTTCTGTTTCACTACTAAATACAGATAATTTGATATTTGGATCAAGTAAAGATGATATTTGTGATGTTCTATCCATAATTGGCCAGTATTTATTCAGTTTCTGATAAATTGTACTTGCCATTATGGATTGTATAAATTTTTTCATATTTAAATACCGTAATAAATGTTCTTTGATTGCAAGAAAAACAAAACGTACAGCTCCGTACGTTGGATATCGTGATGCTGAAAAGTAGCAAGTTGCTCGTTCAAATAGTTCTAAAAGAAGCATTGTATTATTAATTTTAATACAATCTTCTTCAGTTGGGTATCATTGACCAATAGCCTGGTTATCAACAGAAAGCAGTTTTAAAACAGACTTTAGTTTTTTCTATTTTTCTAGCATATAAAAGACAGAATTCTATCTTGTCTTTACATCTAATTTAGGAGCTAAATACTTGATATTCTTTGTTTTACATAAACATTTTAAGGCTTCATTTGCAGGTTAAGATGACTTAAGATAGATCATTAAAGACTTTATTTTTTCAATTGATATATCAACTAGTTCTATATCCTTAATAATTACTAAATTTAATATATACGCAAAATATCTATAATAAGCGAAATTCAAATTATTAAAATCTTTTTCTAACTTGGCTGTTATTAATACACCACACGAGATCATAGATGATGCATTATCAGTAGTTAGTGCAAGAGCTTTTGCGGCCAAATCAAACTCATAAAAAATTGACATAATAGCATCAGCCATATTAGATCCAGTATGATATATAGTTATTGGAATTATGTCAAAGAAAAAATTACATAAGGTCCACGATATATCAACATTATGTATGGTTAGACTAAGAAAAGCTATTTCGTTTAATGCTATCCACATATCAGCTATAAAGGCAACCTTTCCTGAAATTTTATTAATTACCAATTTGATCTCTTCTTTTTTTTCTTGATAGAGTGTTGTAATACAACTACTTATTGTATGACAATTACAAAACCTATATATTGAATCAAATTTAAAAATCATTCATCACCATTCTTCACTTTCAACAATATTGAATGGTTTTATATCACAAATTATCCAACAAAGAACACCATTATCAAGCTCTTGTTGATCATTTTCATTATGAGAATTATTACTTTGCCTAGTTACAAAATCTATAAATTAGCCTAATTTTTAAAAAAACTATTAATAAATTTTATCCTTACTTATTTTTATTTGATTGTTCTTGTGTAGATATAGTTATTCTATGCATATTCAAGTGTCTTCTTAAGGTCGATGTTCTACTATCAGACGAAAACTCAGTTTTATATTTCTTACAAACTGAATTACCTGAATCATTAATGTTAAAATATTGCCAAACTGGTGATTTATTGTACTTTCTTTTTTTTTGATATCATTTTGAATTGAGATTTCAGTGATCTCATTAGAATCTGGAATATTAACATTTGTTTCATTAAGAATTGGGACTTTGACACTTATTTCATTAATTGAAGGATCATTATTATACACTTCTGCATATTGAGAAATATTGAAAAATAAAGGCAGAAAATTTTTATCGTTCATAATTGAAAGGTATAAAAATTTTATTATTTTTTACGTATTTCTTTAT